TCACAGACTAAGCGAGCAACAGAAAGAGAGATCAACATATATATATATATATATATATATATATATATATATATATGGATACATATCAGTTATACAACAGGGTCAAGAGACCCCCTAAGAAATAACCGGTGGAAGCTAACATGACCTATTGATTAGTTTCACACGTTTGTAATACATCACCATTCGTTCTTTATACGACTACAAGGTGGGCATAGCGTGTCTATCTGAAGTGAGGTTACCCGATCATGGCTCCCGCCGAATAGCCGTACCTGGAACAGATTCTTCATTCTGGTTGCTTCATAGTGGACCCCAGAATAATTCGGGACAACATGGGGTAGCATTTGCTCTCAGTAACAAAGCCAATAATGCCCTAATATCATTCGAACCGGTCAACTCCAGAGTTGCAATCGCTAGGTTCAAGGGTTCCCCGCTCGACATTTCTGTTCTCGCTGTCTATGCCCCAACCCTCGACTCTGATGAAAGTATCAAAGACGAATTTTATGACAATCTTCAAGAGGCAATCAACAAAATCCCAAAGCGTGACGTTCTCATAGTAGCCGGCGATTGGAACGCCCGCACTGGCCCTTCAGACGACGCGACAAAACATATACTAGGCAAACACGGTCTCGATCAGCGCTGCCGTAATGGTGATAGACTTTTAGCTTTTTCTGATTACAATCGATTATATATCACCAACACTCGATTTCAACACCCTAGAAAACTTCTCACCTGGTATTCGAACGACGGTCGCACTGCACATCAGATCGACTACATCCTAGTGCGCTCACGCTGGATCTCCTCGGTGGAAGACTGTCGATCCTATCGTGGCGCAGAGGCCGGAAATAAAGGGGGATCAGACCATACTCTAGTTCGGGCGAAATTCAAACTTCGTTTAACAACACGCCAGAAGGCGCGACCTCCGAAGCGTATCAATGTTGCCCCGCTTCAATGTTCGACAAAGCGACAAGCCTTGTCCAAACAAATCCAGGCCGAACTAAGCGCCGCAGATGAACCAACATCCACATCTTCTAATACACCTGAGACACGATGGAATCATTTCAAAGAAGTAGTCTCTAAAGCTTCAATGTCGCATTTGGGTACCACATCCAACAAGCAGAAAGACTGGATTTCAGAGCACACCATGCATCTATCCTCGCAAGCCAGAGACGCTCGCCTAGCAAAGTCTCCAGTTTATCGCTCCCTCAGGCGCAAAGCTACACAGTCTGCTAGGAATGACAGAAATCGCTATTGGTCTAATGTGGCGACTAACATGGAAGCAGCATCAAATGTAGGCGATTTCGGAAAACTTTATCGCCTCATACGCCTATCATCTGGCAAACGCCTTAACAGTCATGCTGTGTTACGCACAGCATCAGGAGAAATTATTTCGGACACCAATGGTAAGATGGAACGATGGGCCGAACATTTCAAGCAGCTACTCAATCGCAACGCTGGTCAACCGTCTCATCGACCGATACGACACTTACCAACACCCTACGTAGTTGACTGCGATCCACCCACTCCAACCGAAATAGCTAAAACAATTAACAGACTCAGAAACAAAAAAGCTCCGGGCGAAGATGGTCTACCTCCAGAAATATACAAGGCCTGCACTCCAGCGCTAATCGATTCGCTGCACTCGCTGTTCTGCTCAATTTGGGAGTCCGAAACCATTCCTTCCGATTGGAGCACCTCAGTTCTGCTACCGTTCCACAAAAAGGGAGACAGGTCACTATGCGAGAACTACCGAGGCATAAGTCTGATTGATATCGCTGCTAAGGTTTTTGTTTCCATTCTCCTGAACCGCTTCGCGGCCGAACGCCACGTGCGAACAAGGCCAAATCAAGCCGGATTTCGACCTGGAAGAGGCTGTGTTGATCAATTATTCACACTGCGAAGAATTTTGGAACACAGGGACAAATTCCAACAGCCGACGGTTGCTTGCTTCATCGACTTCCGAGCGGCATTCGACTCAGTTGATCGAGGAGCACTCTGGTATCTAATGGAGCTCGACGGAGTTCCGACCAAGCTAATCAACCTGCTCAGGTCATACTACTCCAACACCAAAGCTCGAGTCCGAGTGAACGGTGAAGAGTCTCGCACTTTTGAGGTAACCAGCGGTGTCCGGCAAGGTTGTCCAGCATCCCCCATCCTGTTCAATTTCACAATTGATTGGATTTTGCGGCACGCCCTAACCGAGCACCACGGCGTCCAACTTTCGCCCGATATTCACATAACCGACCTCGAATTCGCCGACGACGTCGTGTTATTAGCTGAAAACTTCCCCGATATGCAACAGGCGCTCGATCAGATAAACCACCTCGCGCCTACTATCGGTTTGGAAATTAACACTTCCAAAACCAAAATGTTTTCGAACACATCCACCAGCAATGATGAAATCTTATCCCTGAATGGAGCACCTATTGAAATTGTGCCATCCTTCAGATATCTGGGATCCATAATGCTCCCCAACGGTCAAGCGAAAAACGAAGTGAATGCGCGAATCTCCAACGCCCGGAATGCGTTTCTACAGCTGAGGAGCGTTCTATGGAGCAAGAGAGAAATCAGTCTCAGGACTAAAATTCGGGTCTACCAAGCCTCCATACGACCCGTTCTCCTGTATGGCTGTGAAACCTGGCCTCTTCGCGCGGAAGATTTACGCAGACTCGAGGTAGTAGACCATTGGTGCCTCAGGTACATTCTGCATGTTCGTTGGCAGGACAAACTCTCCAACGAAGAAGTGCGTCGTCGTTGCTACAACATCAACCAAATTCCAGTACTGGTCCAACAACGTCGCCTTCGGTGGTTTGGCCATGTTCTGCGCCGACCAGATGACGATCTGGTCAAATCAGTTCTAAATCCCTCGCCATTACCATCTTGGCGATGTCGCAGGGGTGGACAGCTGAAGACATGGCTTGGTACAGTCAAGGCTGATATGGAGTGCCTGGGGCTACAAACCGTCTACGGACTCCGTCTGTGGAACAAGAATTGGATAACCCTGTCGCAAAACCTTGCATCAGATCGCCGCGCCTGGGCAGCGATGATTCGAGATGTTCATGAAGCCGGCTCATCCTCCCGTAGGAGATAGCCGAAGTAAAGTAAGTAAGTAATACATGACCTTGCTTATTATGAATGTTACTACCAGCTACAGCAACGTACTACTTTTCATACATTTTTGTATTCACTTATATAGGACAATATTAAAGGAATAACTCTTTGTTAATTGATTTTCGTTTGTTGCTGAGTGAACGAACACTAGATTGGAAAAGGAGTTGATTTCTGATGCTACTGTCCTGGATTTCCTATTCGAATTAGTTTTTCATAATATGGAACACTGAAAAATTTGGCTAATCAACGGTGTGATAAGAGCTTACTAGTTACAATACTAATGCGTGTAGTGAAAACGCACAACAAAGCAAATGTCGGTTGATCGCCTTAAATTTTCAGTGGAGGACTTATTAATGTACCGAAAATTAACAAGTAACAGCTACTTCAAGCAGCAGGAACAACAGCTATACTCCTGAAAATTTTAGGATTTTGTATGTAAACCAGACAAATCTAGTCTCTTTTAATACTCTGGCTTAATGTGCAATCTATAAACATCCAGTTACCTTTGACGCGTGACCAATCATCCTGTATGTGTAGATTGTCTCATTTCTTACTCGCAGCATCAAGTTTACCTGATTCACTCATCTTCAATTCCTTGTAAGAATAAAAGTTTTTCAAAAGATTATGTTTGTTTATTCGACTTTATGTGCAATTACACGATATGTACACATAGGCTTATAGTCCATTCTTTCACCCAGTCATCGATATTGAAATTTATTCACAGCAACCTTGCAATCCAATTGCATAGAATTGATTATTCACGAGCACTCACTATTACATAGTCATCATCTGAACAGAACTTTCCAAGATACTTATTCCGCAATTTAGATTTATATGCACATTTTGAACAGTATTCTAGTAGCGATTTCCATGGGAATTACCATTCGCATACCTATATCTAGTGAATAACAATCAAACCAATTCACCTTGATGATTTTGTTTTATTAGAACATTAGTGTCGCCAACAAACAATTGTTCACTGAGTAGTACTAGCACAGTATCATGAGGACTGAGTTATTAGAAATGATGTTTCTTGTTCAACTAATTACTACATTTTCAAGTGTTGGTTTGTAGAGATTCGATTAACTTCAAGACTGATCATGAAACGACTTCAGTCACAGGACTATTGCAAGCCAGACAGTACAGGAAAGCTGCTTTGATCTTGTTTGGCACCCTTAAGTAGTATGCGTCCATAGCTTTAGCAGAGATCCGACCTAGGACCGTCAGATCACAAGACCTCGTCGACCATCCAATCACTGAAATGAAATTCAGCGGCCTATGAATTTTGCCTTCTGCCAATTAGCGGTATATAGTACGAAAACTGATCTACTGCTCACCAGTGACTGACCACAGGATTAAGTTGCCCAAAGTTCACCAATTGACGGATGTTAGAATTCAGGGGCTATGGATTCTGTTTCAGGGGCTGAATGGTCAACAAGCTCACCTTGTACCTTGAATGTCTTAGGTTTGATCCTTTATGAGATTATGGGTGAGTACAGCTAAAGGATCCCAAACAAGGATGAAGCAGCTGTCCAGTAGTCCCTAGTTCTCAGTGACTAATTGATGTTAGTTTATGATTACATTTTAATTAATTTTTGAAACCCTAAATTCAAACTATCTTTTACAAGCCAGTCTAATGATGGAGATTATTTCAAGAATATTGACTCTGCTAACGAAATATTCCCACCTCTTTCAATGAAAATGAATGTAATGAGTTCATTTTCACATAAATGCAAAACTATAAACGTAACATTCCCACAGAACAAAAATCTAAACGAGGCTACAATTACTGACTCTTAAGAAGAGAACTTCTTTATTCAAAGAAAACCTTATAGTACAAAATATGTCGAGTAAAAATAGGTGGAGTGAAAATCAACAGTTGAATCTTTTCTTCAGCTATAATCTACTATTTTGAGGCATTCATCTGAAAATTCTACGAAAATAGGTTCACGCATAGCGTTTTCCACTGCAGAATATGGTTTGTCAGTTTCATTTAAAAAACGGAGCAGGCTTCGTAAGTGAGGGTTTTTTAACAATTCTCTGATACGGTCTGAATCCTCTAAACAAGACAAAGTGAAAATGAAAAATTGCATAAAACACCTACTTAACCGTTTAAGTACTTTCCTCGGAACATAATCGATCATATCATCGTCCTCCGGTTCTACTACAGTTTGTACAACATTTTGAGTGCAATCCTTTTTTTCACAGCCATTTTGTTTGTGCGCTTTGTAACAAACAAGTGAGCAGCTAGATTCAGTAGTAAACAAAAATTAGGCAAAAACAACTTACTATGGTGAAATACATACAGGACATTTGTACTTTGAAGTCTCAGTTGTGCATATTGTACATAAAGCCATTGGATTGTAGACAGTAAATTCACTTAGGAAAGTCAGCAATGTAGCGTCGATTTATTACCTGAAATACACAATACACATAAAATATTAACACTGTTTGATTGTTTAAACAGTATTTACATTCTTAAATAACTAAATATGTAACTATATTTTACAAGTGACACAATGCTATTTGATCTATTAACACGCAGTTTAGGTTGATAAAAAACATAAAAAAATACTACATTCAGAGAAGGAAATGTGGAAATTATGTTCGAACTTTACTACCTGGAACATGGATTTTTCATGAACCACACATCGTGTGGGGGCTAGTAGTACTACCCAGTTGCCCGGACTGAAGTAGGTGGAGTAACGTCCGAACCCTGAACCTATCGCCTGAGTCCAGTACTCAAGCCGATGAGCAAACAAACGCGTGGAGTGAAAATAACTATGATACTAAGAGTAACCTGTCGATCGAGAAGTTCTCTGGAGATGCTTGGCTGTAAAGGGAATGCCGAGAAAATACACTGCACTGATTAAGGCACTCTACTCGTACTCATACAGCCAGGTGAGGGCTTACGGCGAGCTGTCATCTGAACTGATGACGACCAGCGGTGTCCGTCAAGGATGCCCACTATCATCTTCCCCTCTTCTATTCAACTTCATCATAGATGTGTTAATGGACTTAACCCTAGGTGACTTCAGCGACTCAGGGATTGACTTGCTACCTGGGAATAATCTCGTTGACTTGGAATATGCAGACGATATAGTCCTTCTAGGCGAAGACGCTGACGAAATGCAGAGTCTTCTAAACACCTTGAGCCGCAATCTAAGAATGTTTGGCATGCGATTCGCTCCCGTCAAATGCAAGATGATGCTACAGGACTGGACTACATCGACGCCTAGTTTAAAAATAGGAATTGAAGTGGTAGAGCACGTTGACCGCTTCACTTATTTGGGAAGTACCATCAGCCAGTGCCAACGGGTTGATCTCTGACGAAATCTTCGCACGAATACAAGGGGCTCGTTTCGCATATGCCAGTTTACGCCGACTCTGGCGTAGACGAGATGTTCGACTATCGACCAAAGGAGGGGTGTACTGCTCATCAGTCCGCTCCGTCCTCCTTTATGGTTGTGAGACCTGGCCACTGAGAGTGGAAGACATGAAAAGACTAGCTGTCTTTGATCATAGGTGCCTGCGTTCTATTTCCCGTGTAAAGTGGCATAATAAGGTGAGCAATATTGAGGTTAGGCGTCGAGTTCTAGGTAAACAGGGGAAATCAATCGACGAAGTTGTGAAGTTACAAAGACTGAGATGGTTAGGACGTATGCTACGTATGCCTAGTCATCGCCTTCCTCGACGAGCAATGTTAGCGGATACAGGGTCAGGCTGGAAAAGAGCTAGTGGCGGTCAAACAAAAACATGGCACCAGTCAATGAAATCTACAACAATTAGTCTAAGCCACGTAGGAAGGTGTAGACTTCCAGGCTGGGGTCATCGGGACGGTAAAAATCTATGGTTGGAAACAATTGGTGACATGGCTCAAAATCGTTCTCAATGGCCGGTGCAGATGTATCCACTCCTTGTGACTTATGATTTCCAATGAAACTGTTTTGTTCTTCGTTATTACTCTTCCTTTCTCTCACCCCTCTGCTCACTGTCTCTATTATGCTTTTCTTGTACTTTCTTCTCTTGCTTCGCGTGCTACACGGAGTGTGGCGACTTGAACTTCCGCACATTTGTGCAAAGTTCTATGTCGAAAACAGACAGACAGACAGAAGCTCGGATGATATCACATGTCACTAGTACCACATTCAAATTTTGCAAAATTAATTACATAAAATATTTTGTCTTGTACGGGACAAACGCTTTGAATTGTGTGGATACGAACCAGTTGTTTGATGGATTCGCATTCATGAATGATTGAAAGTCCTAATACCCATGGTTTTCAGCAGTGAACACGTACGAATGCAGGCTCAATTGCGGGAACAGTGGTGCATTGTGTGTGCATTAAATGACACAATGTAAAAAAGTGTAGTAGGCTAAGAATACAGGCGTACCATGTTACTGAAGGATGTAAATATACCATGTATAATCACTTATGCACAGAGGGATTCACCTACACCTAAAATTTGGACGGAGATTGGAAGGTTTAGGTATTACGGTTATTCATTTTCGAAGATACTGAGGCATATGTGGTAACGGATTCTGCGTATGGAAAGCCTGGTGCAATCATTTCGTGAAGGTATCTGAGAAGCGTGAGTCTTCAGCCTGCTAGCCTATGTTGCGTCTGAAGCTCAGTAGAGACCTAAAATTTAGAAGACCTTATTGATGTCAAGAAGAATTGAACAGACACATGACCCAGGTGTTGCAATACATACAGTAGCGGTAAATAATTCCCCAAAATTATTGACCACAGCACTCATCACTGAACATTGGGTGCTGACCCTTACTGTTTAAGTCGACTTGTTAGGCTGAAGGCTTACGGTCAAGCATCCACACTATTTGGTACTCCGTCGTGTCACGTTCGCGCACGATCCCTAGCTAGCTAAGTAATCATCTCACACTCCGATTTGTTCCCGAAATATATCCCGTAATTTGGACGATCAATTATTGTTTTGCTTTGTCTTTGGTTTACGCAGGACGAATACTACAGAAGTTGTGGGTATTAGATCTTGCGTTAGTATACTTCGTATTATCCATGAACGTTAATACCGTCAGCCTCAAAAATACTAATATTATGTGCAACGTAAGTTTACATAGAGTAGCCGAAGTGGACTCTATCCAAAAAAACGAAAAGCGCGACCGAACTAAGGTGACCAGAAAATAAAACCTGTCATAAGAAAGCTTAGGTAATTTCAAAAAACAATTATCGCCATAAATATGCTTGGTAGAGACAAGTTAGCTACTTTTTTATCATGGAAAATTTGTTGATTAAAGGTTAAGACGGACTATGCCATCGTTTATAATCGATTCACAGACCACATTTTAATTTTATGGAAGTCCTAATGTATTTCCGTTTCTGTCTCTTAGTCTGAATAACTTCCCTAATTATATCTTTTATTAGCATTATTATTATTATTACTATCTGTTTTCTCTTGTCGACGATACCGAAGGACTAACTGGCGAAAGGATCAACTCTAATCACAGTAGTAACAGTCTTAACATACCCCATACTACAAACCACATATAATTAATCCCAGCACTACTCCCTTTGGAGTCAACCAAAGCTACGACAGTCGAGTGGTGGGACAAGCTACGCAGAAGTTTACCGAAGCTCAGGAACCTATACCTTACAATCGAGAAGCGAGGACAAAGAAATCAAATTGGTTTATACTAGCTCGTAAAAAAGATATTGGATATGGATAGATAATCCAAGCAACATCATTCAAATAGTATTGACAGTGTGTCTAAAGTATCAAGATAAGTATCACAATAAACCATGGCATTTCGGTAAGCTCATTACTTCATTCTTAACACCTTTGCAAACAGAAAACGGAGCTAGCAATACAGGATACAAAATGACGAGGTTAGACCGTAAAACGCCACACAAAACGTGTCATTTCTCATGTTGACTATACAGTTGTGTAATGGGACGTTCTCCAGCATTCTTACCTTTTACACTAAAAAACTGGCCACTTGAATCACCGATAACAGAAATTGTTTATCTCCTTGTTTCATTTTGCTAAACATTAAGAACACCACATCGTAACGGTATACATCTTTCAAGATATGTCTTGGATATAAATGTGCAAGTAAGAAATATCTTTAGGCCGTTTAGGGAGGATTCGTGGCAGATTATCGCTAATGTCTCCTAGGAGTTTGTCAATTATCAACGTTTTTCCGAAAAACCCATATGACCCGATAGTGCCCTGAAATTCTCAGTTATCATTTACTTCGGGCTCATTGGAGAATCTTCGAGGCAGACTGCATATCACTGTCCTAAGTTCTGCAATGCGCCCATAGAAAATGCTAGTTCGGTTGTTTGATACGTATCAAACAACCGAACTAACATAACGTACGTTATGTTTTTGGACGATAAGTTTAAGGCAAGAGCATAAAATTGACACAGTATTACTGTTATGGAAAATGACTGATGTCCTTTGAGAATCGAAGGGCATGTCAAACTAAGAATTCACCGATGAGTATGCAAACATCTAGTACACCCATGAGAATGTCATGGCTTGTGTAACGGTATATTTTACATTTGCGGGGTTGCGAAATGTCAACGGATAAAGACACACACGACCTTATGGAGAGGCTGAGCACTTCAAGGTCACGTATGCATATTGTGATTGGTAGATTTTACTTTTCATGAATGCTGTGGCTAATACGTAGCACACGTTACTGAGGCGGGCTTTGAAATGATAGTAATAAAAGTCGCATAAACATTACATCTTTTCAGCCTAAGGAGACAAGTTAACGCATTTTTAGATTTTTCAGATGTAATATGCATGTGGACGTACTAAAAAAGAGAATATTATTGGGTAACTTAGTTAAAAAAGTAAAAAGTTTGAAGATTTAGTCTTTTTCAGTTGATTGTAACGGATAGAGAGGAGAGGCATTTGTGTAATATTTGCATTTTGCAGAAGACAAACTGTGAAAGATAAATCGGAAGTTCTAGGATTCTTCAAGTTTTTTATGGGACATATGGACTATTCTTACCGATCCTACTATTGTTCCCTCCCTTGTTCACTTATTCATTGTTGCTAAGATTAGGAATTGTTCACCTGAGGTAAGATTAATTCACCTGATATGTATATATCCTTAGATATTTCTCAGTGTGGCCGGAGGTGTTCAAAGGAATACAATCTCAATCTTTGCATGGAAAGATCACGACCAGTTTCTTCTGAAGTATCAGGTGGTGCTGAAAGCTGTAAAGACTGGTCCAGTGTCACAATCATCCAATATCCTGATTACGAGCTAGTATAAACCAGTGATTTCTTTGAGCTCGCTTCTTGATTGTGAGGTAGAGGTTCCAGATCTTCGGTGAGCTTCTGCGTAGTAAGTCCCGCCACTCAAC